TTATAGATGAGCTGTAAGACTCAAAGAAAGATTCACGAAAGACTGGCGGAGAAAGTCGACGCCTTACCTGGACAGACATGTTATAGATGAGTTGTAAGACTCAAAGAAAGATTCACGAAAGACTGGCGGAGAAAGTCAACGCCTTACCTGCGAGTGAGCAGGAGGAAAGAGTGGTAGGGAGGTTCTAAGCTTCCAAGTTCCACACGATGATAACATTCCACTTCTAGTAAAGAGAAAAATAAAAGAACTTTAAGAGAACACAAGATTTACCTGGACAGACAGGTTATAGATGAGTTGTAAGACTCAAAGAAAGATTCACGAAAGACTGGCGGAGAAAGTCGACGCCTTACCTGCAAGTGAGCAGGAGGAAAGAGTGGTAGGGAGGTCTATCGTGACACATGAGCACTCATCCAAGAAGTGAAATATGAAAAGAGAAAAAAATAGAAAATAAGGTGCGTACTCTAAGCTTCCAAGTTCCACACGATGAGGGGGGAACAAGGAGCTTGAGAGACCCTGGGTATATAAGAGAGAAACTGAATCGCACACAATTTTCACCCTGAAGCAAGGGGATACACAGATACAGACTAGACACGCGTACACAACCATTTTGATGAAGCCCACACACAAATAATGTTCCCAAAAGGGAAACATTCTACACGACTTGAAGATACCTGAATTCAGACCTAATACTGTAGCGTTTGATTTCCTAATCGGGATGGACTTGACTACCTTAGACAGTATCATAACAGAGTTTAGGTCTTTTAGTTTTCTTCTTGTCATCCTTTTTGGATTTAGGGTGAGAGCCAACATGTTGGGCTCTCTCAAGTTTCAAGATTTCCTTGAATATGACGGGTGGCACGTTGTCATCTCCACGTGCTGCATTTTTGTTAAGCCTGCTACAGGCTGTGAGGAATTCTTGAGAGGTGATAGGTTTACCTATAGGTAATTTTTTCATTTTCTTGTCATCACAAGTGAGGTTCTCCCAATAAGTGGGATCCTGTGAAACCCCGGTTTTGTCACGGGAGAGAGTGCTAAAATGTTCATATTCAGCTTGTGCAATGTCTTTATTAGTGACACAGATGTCCCCTTTGCTATTTTTGCAGGGCATTGGGTGGCTTTTACGTTTGCCTAAGTGGTCTGGAAGTGCGGCGTTGATAGCCGCATGGAAGTCAAGCATCTTATTCTCAACAAGATGTTTGGTAGTTTGTGCGGCCCTTTTCTTTGCCTGCAAGGTTTCAAATTTCTTTACAGCAGTTTGTGCGAGTCTTCCCGCCTTTTCAGCGTAGTTGGTGAGTTTAGTGAGTTCTTCAAGTGGGGTCCTTTTTTCTAAGGCCGCCTGGTAGATTGCCTTTGTCTTTCTGGCATTTTTGCTGAGGTTGGCCACTTTCCTAGGGAAGTGGACGGTTCAAGGAGGTTTCGCAAATTTTATGGCACCCCATTTGGTGGAGGACTCTACAAGATTAGAGATCCAGGCAGTATTTTTCTCTTTGAGAGTACCTGATGCGGGGAATGTTTTCCAAGCCCCGTCCGTAAGGATATCTGTTGCGTGTCCGCGCAGCAGTTTCAGGTCCCACTTAAGAGCGGGAGGAGTAGGTTTTTCAAATTTCTTTCGAATTTTCATGCTGATGGCGGCGTGATCACTCACACCGTCGTATTGAAGTGACATTTGTCGACTGACTTTGGTCTTACAGGTGAGATCCTGTAATGCGGGTGAGATCAGCCAATGGTCAATGTCATTCGGTCTACACCACGGAGTGGTTCTTGAGCAGAAAAAGCGTCGGTGAGGTCTGAGTGTCGTCGGGGTCGTGAAATGGCCGGGAAATGGCCTGAAAGTGGCCTGTAAGAGGCCTGAAAATGGTCTGTGAGAACCGGCTACATACCAGCTGCAGGCCAATTGAGTACCGTTGGTAGTCTGACTGCAGCTGGTCTGCGTAGTTAAGTCTGCAAAAGGGTGGGCGAGTGCCTGTGAGACGTCTGCCAGACTGTTCTTCCTTGTAATAAAATCTTTTATTATAAGGTCAAATTTGATAAAGCTTTAACTGAACTTGACCTCAACTTCGAATCATGACATCACTCAACAAACCAAACAACCAACCGATTGATTCCTCAAAACCATTCTCAACCACTTCAATTTCATCAAATCCATCTCAACTCAACATCATCATCATCAACAACTTCATACTTTCAATCTCATCATCATCAAATCAATCCAATCAATCAAATCAAGTCTCATCTTCATTCACACCATTTAAGAATACTTATCATCGAAGGACATCCTTTGAGATCTCACGATCATTCAGACTTTTCATGAAAAATGCTTTTGACTGATATTCACAACCTTTTTTCTCATCATCACTTTGATTTTGCTAACTCCTAACAATCAATTTGATCATTAAAGTGACAATGGAGAAGTTGAAGGTATCACCGAAGCAGATATCCTCTTGACTGTCAAATTCGATCACACAGGTGGATATTTCGCTACGGGTGAAAAAGGTGATCAATTAGTACTCTTTGAGTGTAATGAGGTAAGTCTTCAGAACAGATTAAAATCATATCTGTCTCATTGATCTTCATGGGTAACGATAACCTTGAATCTTCTGAACTCGATCGATCATGGTGTTTAACAGTCTGGCAAGAAGGGATGAGAATACAAGTTTTATACTGAGTTCCAATCTCATGAACCTGAGTTTGATTATCTGAAATCACTCGAGATCGAAGAGAAGATTAACATTACAAGATCAGGTGGTGTAAACGTCAACTCGGCCCATCGGTCACTTTCAACAATGGTTTGTCCCTCATTTGCCTTTTGCACTCTTACATCATTTTCATCATCTGATACGTTCAGGTATATCGGATTGGTAGATTGACATACTGAATCTCCACCTTATTGCTAAATAATTATCCATGTAAGAAACCAAAAACAAACTCAACATAGTCGCTAATCAGATTTGTGTTTGTTGTTTTTGAAATCAGAAACTCAACATAGTCACTAATCAAATTTGTTTTTGTTATTTGTGAAAACAGGAGCTCAATATGGTTAATTCGTTTTTGATATTTTCGATAACAGGCTTGAAATATCAGGTCAATATCAATCTTGAGATTACCAGGATCAAATATCAAAACCTGAAATATTCATCATAAATGAGTACGAGTTTTATGAAATCCAAGCTATCCAACTCACAAATCATGATCACTCTTTTTGTTGAAATCTAATTTGATCAATGATAACAATAATGATGTTTCATAAATCAATAATTGAATGATTTCAAAACATGGTCAATTGCCTCTCATTCTGTCAAATCTAGGAAAACTGACTTCAATAATTGATTGTATTCTTCTCTTTTGAAAAATTGTGACAAAAGCTGGTGGACCTTTATTATTAGCACCAATCGTTTCAATTTTTATAACGTTCTACATCACTAGCAAATATGAGTAATTGGATATCAAGTACATCAACGGAGCCATGATCATTTGCGAGTCTAGGTCTAATTTTCAGTTATTGCAGATATATAATCAAGGTATTGGCGGCACCATTTCATAATTTCATGTTCTTTGTTTAGCAAAAGATTTGTATCTTCATATCATGCTCATTATACTATATTGTCACATCTGTACATATATGATCAAACTTTTAATGTCATCAATAAATTGATCGCATTTGAATCGTTTGAAACGATTGTCTGCTAGCTAAATTTCAAGGCTGGCAGCAATTTCACTGGCTTTCTGTTGAGCCTCCAAAGTGCCTGTGAGTAGCCTTGAGTAGGTCACAGACGGCCTGTCAACCCTCCACATCTCGTCTTCGGTCAATCTGAAGGCTGGCTACAGGTGATATTTGAAAGGCTGTCTGCATACGGTGGGACCAGCGCCTACCTGCAGACGGTCCGTGACTATATAAAAAAAGGCCCGTCTGCAGACGGCCTCCGTCCCAGTCTGCAGATGGGCCAGACCACTCCGTGGTGTACCTCTTTTGATGAGGCGTGTCAGATTGGAACCGCTGCATTCCTTGATGCTCATGCGTCCACCAGTGTGTCTCAGTGCCGCCTGAGATAAGGGAATAGAGGTCATGTTGAAATCACCTCCAATGGCGATTTTGCAGTTGGGGTCTGAATCCAGAAGAGCATTGACTTTGTCCCAAACAGGTTTGAGTTGAGTCTTGCGGTGTTGTCCTTTGTTAGAACCTGATTGAAGGTAAACTCCAAAGATGTGCCAGAGACTGTCTGGCTCAAGGTGTGTGACAACCAAGTGTTGTAACTGTGGATCGGGCATAGGTTTTTCATAAGCAACTATGTCATTGCGGACCATCATACAGAGTCCATAGAAGCCAGGTCCGGCTGGATGAGAGTAGGTTCGGTAACCATCAAGTTTCGGTTCGTAGCGCATATTGGTGCAACGATGTTCACCGATGACTATGACACCGGAAGTGACTTGCTCCGCAAGGGTAGCAAGAAGGGGAGCTTTCTTATTGAAGCCATTGGCGTTCCAAGCAAGGAGAGAGGTGTACCCAGGAGGCGTAGAGGTACCTTCTGGAGGTTTAGTGATAGAGACATTGAAGTCTGGAACATCATCACGATATTCTTTGTAGAGATTAACACGCCATTTGGCAATGCTGAAGCAGTTGGTGGTACTTGGATTACCACGTTTGGGTTTCTTTGTGCGTCTGCAGAAGAATAGGGGAATACCCGGAGGGCGTTCACAAGGGGTGAGTTGCATCATTTTGATGAACCCATGCGCAATGTCGGGTGAGACACAAAGGTAAAATGCAGGTTGTTGGAAAGGATTACTCCTCTTCATGACGCCCACCACCTTTTGGCATTGGGCAGGAGTCAGTCTTTGTCTTAAGACTGTCCAGACGTCAACACTTGTACAGTTGCCAGTGTTGTTGAGAGTGAATTTCACTGAGTGTTTGAGATTATGTTTGATCTCAGCTTGTCTAACGCCCTTTTTACAAGTAAGGGACGAGTTGCTTTGTAGTGTACGTGGAGATGTAGTAAGATTTCTCTTTACCCCCAAGGCGTAGGAGGGTTCATGGTGGCTTCCCTCTGCAGACGGTGTCCGGTTTGTCCGAGCATTGGCAAGACTACTTTGAGTAGCAGTTGCGGAGTGTTCACCAAGTGGTGATGAAGTGGTACCGTCTTCCATAGTGGAATCCGGTGCTGAAGAGTGTTGACGAACTTGGTTCGCATCACGAGAGGTTGTAGTGTTGGATTTGAGTTTGTCAAAAAGCGCTGCACTGGTGAGCATCCCAGCATTGACACCCCGTAGGGGTCGGCCTGGCAAGGATTCGCTTGCCACGGTTCTTGTTGAGTGCGCATTTGCGTCAGCGGGAGGTACAATTGGTGTATCAGTTGTAGTTGTAGCATGACCTTCGTCATTTGGAGGTTCGTCTGAGTGACGGATTATATTTCCAATGTCACTGCGAAAGTAGGGGCGTTTCTTTTTGCCTACTTTGATGATGTGGTGTTCGTAGTGGGTGTCAATTCGACGTTGTTTTCGTTCGGAGATGGCCTTTTTGGTCTGCATCTCAAGGCGTCGGGCACGCATTTCTTTGCCGGTGAGTTTGGTATCCTTATTATAAGGACCCCTTCGGTAGGTTCTACCATTTTGTATAATGGTGTCCTCTTTAGGTTTAGGTACACGTCTTTCAAAGATCGTTGTCGATTCGTCCACAATTCGTGGATATCTTGGGCGGGTAGAGGTAGAAGTAGAGGCTGTAGTTGCCTTCCATTTACCTTTTTCAAGGTACGTATGAGTCTGATTGGTGTTATCAGAAGGTGGGAGAACATTTTGTTCAGTAGGTTGCGAGGAAGTACAAATTACTTCATCATTAGGGTGACCTAGTGGTTGTGAGGTTTGGACCATTCTCATGGATCCTTGAGGTTGGGTTCCGCCAGTAACATCAGTTAGCCTTTCTCCCTGGGGAGCCAAAGAAAGACCAACCCCCAAAGTAACTTTATTGACCAACACATCATCCTTCGGGGAGCAAGGAGTGTCAGTTTCCACAGTAGCTTTAGTCCCAGAAGTGTCCCTGGACGGACAGATCACTTCTGGCGGAGGCAATTCACTGTACGAGACTGGTCCCTCCACAACCATCTCGGGGCCGGGGCCCATTCCACCCAATCCCGGACAACATTGTTCAGAGGATGTTCTTTTCATTGTTGCATTTGGGTAAGACAGTTAAAGCCCGCTCACGGCTGTTAGGAGGGGAAGGGGTTATTTACGTATTGCGGGTAACCCCTTCACAAACCGTGTGAGACATCCAGTGCGGACTATCAGGTTATCTGTGGTGAGCAAATATCAAAGCATTGTCTTTTGAAGTGGTGTATATGTGCCTTTTGATGTAATTGAGGTGTAATCTTGCCGTGATCAACAGGTGGATGGATGCCAAACTCAAAGAGTAGTTACAAGACCTGAATTTACGTAGTGTGGTTGAGTCCTCATATTGCGGTGAGGTGTGAGATTTCCAAGTCCATCCTTACAGTGAAGACGTGTAGCATTCTGATACTGTGGAGTACCCGGCGTGTGAGGAGGTGTGATTAGTTTAGTTGTACGCAAACATGTCTCATATTGATGACAAGTCCAGCAAAGGACATATGGAGAAGAGACGTGTGGAGGGACGTATGATGAGTTGTCTGTTTTTAAGAGACGTCTTGAAGGTCTTTTATAAGTCCTAGCGTAGGTTTAGTTGTGTGAGACGGACAATGGTACGTACGAATCATGGGGTGTGTAGTTAGGGTTAAAGACCAATAGTAATACACATTGACAGTACACAAGTGTAACATTTAGTTAAGACGTCACAGTGGTCTTCAATTCTGATGTTTGAACATGAAGATCAGGTCAAAGAAGGGTTCCTGTGTTTGCATGAACAAGTGTTACCACGTTTTGCAAAGTTTAGTTTGAGGATTATTGTTTTACGTGGCAGTTCTCTGAAAGAACTGTTTAGTAAAAGGTTGAGTTTACAATCAATGAGAGCGTGTGTTAGCAATAAGTTGTACAAGGTAAGTGTGTCAAAATACATATTTCAACAAGTCAAAGATGAAGTTAAAGTTTCTCAAGGAAGATTCTTTTGAAGAAACCGGATGTTTAAGTAAAGTGTGAAGATTTTCAAGTCTGAGGAACTTGCTAAGTTCAAAGAAGTCAGTTGCGTTATTTGATTGAAGTTTAATACTCAGAACTTAGAAGGAAAATTTGCAAAGGTAGGCAAGTTTGGGCAAAGTGGCTCAAGGCACGGTTTTGAGTGTTAAAGACAAAGACATAAGATTTTTTATTGGATTTTAATCATTTTGACGTCCTATGTACAGTAGAGACATTGATAGCTCTGAGCAGTGGACTTAAGATAAAGTGAAACAGACAAGTTATTTGAGACAAGCGTGTATAAGTAGCACATCAAGGTAGAGATAACAAGAACAGGACAGATACAAGGTTGCAATTCAGGACAAGTGCCCTTTAGGCAAGAAGAAAGGTTAAGGACTCAGTCCTGCGAAAAAAGAAAGGACAACAACATAGAAGAAAGTTAGAAAGGCGCGTGACAAGGCTGGAAAGGTTCGAAGCGGGTCTTGTGCACATCTTTTGATGTAGATTCGAGATGTATCTAGTAGATAAAGCAGGAGGAAGGAAGGTTAGTAAAGGTCATAACTAAGAAGAAAAGTAATAGAGACTTACTTAGGAGTAAGAAGGTAAAAGCCTTTAGTTGACACGAGTGAATGCTCCAAGGCGTTCAATCGAAGCTTGTCCGTCGATGTCAACTAAGGTAGCCTCAGTTTCTTGAGTGGAAGTGCCAGATTGAGCGGTCTTGAGGGCATTGAGGTTATGGAAGAGTCCATCCTTGATGGTGATGTAGGGACAGACCGGACGATGCTCACCTTGAGCAGCAGTTGTGCCACAGGAGGGGCATAGAGGCAGAAAACTCCAACGAGAGTGTAGACGCGGGTGACTGGTCGACCACGTGAGTCCCAGCCGGTTAAGGGGAGAGTCTTGGTGGAGTTACTGAGCATCGCAAGCCAAGCTGGGACAAAGGAAGGTTTGATGACAATCTCAACGATTTGAGCGGACTTATGGGTGAAGGTGGGAGTCGTGCCGATCTCTCTGAACTCCATGATACCGAGTGGTTTGGTGAGCTTTTGCGTCCATAGGCCGCCAAAGAGCTCTTGTTGAATCCCGCGATGGTGGAGGTGAAAAGGGATAGAGGTGGCTCCTACCAGAAAGCTAGAAATGCTGGGAGAGGGACCTGTAATAGGGGCCAGGTTGAAGATGATCAAGGATGATCGGGTAGGCCCAGTGATTTGAGCCAACACGCCGTATTGAAGGTTGCGTCGACGTTGAAGGAGGCCGATTCGTGCTTGAACAGACTTGAATCGAATGAGACAATAGCGTGACTCTCCAGGCCCATCGATGATGGAGCAGTAGTTGATGTAGTTAGCAAGGAGAGCGTCAATCACCTCATTGTCATTGAGACGTGAGTTGTTGCTGAGAACAGTTACCATACCCCAAAGGGTGGTGTCAAGAGGGGTGACGTGGTCCTTGTGGTAATAACTCCACCAGGCTCGAAGCTCGTACGGTAGGCTCGTGGTTGGCGCAAGGCCGTGCTTAGGGGTATCCGTGACTGGAGAGGCGGCTTGTAAGACAAGACCTCCAGGCAAGGCTAGAGATGACAGAAGGGAGAAGAGATTCCAAGGTCAGAACAGAAGTTCTAAATATAGAACAAGAGGAGGCTAGCTTACGATAGGGAAAAGCAGAAGTCAGTAAGACAGAACTTTCACCGGTAAGGTCAATGACCTTAGATGGGAAGGTCTGAGTAGCAGGTTGAGTGGAGGGTTGGAAGTTGGGCTGATCTTCTTGAGCATATTCCAAAGCCTCTTCTTCAGAGGAGGAGGTGCCGGTTTCGTCGTCAGAGTCGACAGAGGACAGATCAGAACTGGGAGGAGGGCGCTTTGAGGACACTACCGGCACGAGAGGGGTGTTGACCGCCTCATCAAGTAAGTCTTGAGCAGGCAAAGTTGGTACAGGATCGCCAGTTGGAGAGGCCATAGCCTAATCAGGTTGAAGCACAGCCGGAGGATTCGTAGGAGTTTCTAAAGAAGCTGCAGCTTGAGGAGTCGTCAAGGACAATCGGGCTACCTTACGGGTTTTGTTTCGTTGAGTTGAACTCTTCAAGGAAGATGGGGTGGACAAAACCATTCTAGGTAGATAGTCAGAGGAAAGGAGACAGAGGTTAGTAAAGAAAACCAACATAGAGTCAGGATGAATCTAAGAGAAGACATACTCTGAGTGTACGAGTCTGATAGTTTGAAGTAGAAGTGGTCTGTTAAGACTGAAAGGCTCAGATGAGTGCTGAGAAAGAACTAAGGTAAAATAATTGATTGATCGAGATAATAAAGTAAACACAAGAGATGTTGTTTGAAGCAGAAGGTCTTTGAAGGACTGGTAAATCGAGTATGGTGTTAAAGAGTAAGGATGAAGGTTAATCAGCTTATTTATGAATAAACAGAAGGCTAATCAGAACGTCTAGGATGATGAGACGATGAGGAAACAGAAGAGACTCACCAGAAGTGGTCCTTTAAATAGCAAAGGTGAGAAGTAATCGGACGTAGGTAACTTTTTGAAGTAAAGCCAAGGATCATCCAGCGTAGGAGTTATCAAAAGAGGTGAAGACATGGTTGATTGGGGCAAGGTAGACGTTCTTGAGACTCTATCGCAGAAAGCTTGGCAAGATGAATCGAATGAAGATGAAGAGGAGATAAGCTCAAGACAGAGAACCGTGAGGCTAGAGGTTTGACCAGGTCTTGATGATACAGTCCGTGTATTAAGATTGTAGAGGAATAGAAGGATGTTATAGTTCCAATTGAGTGATCGAATCAGATGTAGGAGGTTGAACACTGTCAGTTGGTAGGTGTGATTGATCCAAGGACGTTGATGGTGAAGCTGGGATAGACTGAAGTCATGTGAGGTGGTCAGTGCATCAATTGAGAGCCTGAAGATCGATATCGCCACAATGAGATTGAGCAGAGTCATCTGGTAACATTTGAGAGGATGAGCAGACCCATGAGATGGTTGAGATAGTCCTGAGAGGGTGAATCAATTGGTGGATGAGCCTGAGGAGTATGAAGGAGGCCTGGTAATCCAGTTAACCCGTGACGTGAATTCGAAGTGAATTGTAGTTCAGGTTGTTGAGGACAGCTTTGAAAGAATGTAGGAGAGGTTGTAAGTCGAGATGAGATAAAGGTGAGGTGTTTGAGAGGTAGTGATGTAAGATACACTAATAGACCAGGTATGAGTGATTCATGAGGTAGGTATTGATAGCTTTGAAGGGAGAGAAAGGTGAGGTTGTTGAAGTTCAATCTCGATGAAGGAGATATCCAGGTGCTCCTAAAGGTGGGTGAGAGAGTTGTTGATGTGAGGTTGACTAGGAGAGATCACTCTTGCTGTCAATAGCGTGTCGAGGTTGATTCGAAGATGATGCAGATCATCTGAGAGTGGTTTGAAGGCTGAGTCTTGAGGTAGAGGGTGCGATAAGCCACAGAATCGGTGTATGAGGTGGTGTGAGGGTTGGTGGAATCTT